GGGAAGGAGAGAGTTTGTGATTTTCGCGTTTGGTTAGGGTAAGGTGCTGGGCATGCTGTTTGTGTGAGTAGTTTCTGGACGATATAAGATTCGTCTGGTGAGACAGGGACACACAATAAACCATGATCTTCGGGCCCCGCATCGCCACCCTGTAGATTTCGGCAAGAGCGAAGATCATGGATGATAAACCAATGCCTATTCCTCAAAGGTACATCTCTTACGATTTCCTTGATACCGCGTGAAATCAGACCGGTGAGAGAGATGATAATAATAATAATAATAATAATAATAATAATAATATGGCAGGTGGAGTAAGAACCACCGTCGAGAGAATCCGTAATCCTAGTCGAGTATTCATTCCTAAAAGTGGATCAGTGATGCACCTGGCACCCTACCAACTGGTAGGTGCAAATGACAGTGACTTTGACTGCTTTTAGCGTCATTTTAGAATACCTTTGATCTGAAACGTTTCTTTCCTTTCTACGAAACTGCAACCAAAAATCCCAAATTAGTTACTGCCAAATGCTGGGACTTCGGGTGCTTGATAGGGTTACTTTTTTATCAAACCAGATATATTCAAAAGGAAGAAGAATACTTACTGTGTTGCATTGACTATTTTGGTAGGGGAGAACGGATGAATTGACTCAGATTAAAAACTGCGTACGCACAGTTAATCAGTAATTGAAGACAAATTAAGTATTGCATAGAACACGAAATAGTATTAATTTCGATTGCTGAATGACAAAAACGTCAGACTTCATGCACCAATTAAACAGGTCGTACCGATTGCAAGCTTTTGCGCAACTTGATCAAACGTTGCATCACAGTCCCGCCTTATGTTACCGGTTGTTTTTTACATAAAATTAAACCAGATAGCATTGGATCAATCTCTCCTCTGCAAACAGTATTTCATTCGGGTTTTAATTTTGCGATGGCCTCAGATGAAGGACCTCAATAACACACCCTCGGGGGAGAGAAAATTCACGTAAGCTTAGAACATACTCACCGTACATAAATATGGTGCAATGAAAAACAGGTGGAACATTACAAACAACCCCTATAAAATTGTAATGATCAGGTGATAAACTACTGAAAATAGCTTGTTTCGCCTACCGGACTTTGTTTTCTTTGTGATGGTAGGCAGTTTTCCTTTACTGAATATATAATAAGCTGGAAATATAAAGAAAATTCCACGAGGGATGAAAAAGACCAGTTCACAACACACGGGAATCTACTTACAAAAATTGTGAATCTCCTAGCCCGAAGATTCGCGGTTTTAGTCCCGGTAGGGACACAAATGGTGTGCAACGCATATAGTCGAGTCCAATATCCGAAAGACTAGCGATATCCAACCGAATTCGAGCCCAGGCAGAAAGACCGCGATACTAGAACATCCACTGTTTTTGTTGCATTTCACACTTTTACATGTTTTCTCACTTATCGAATTTTGAAGCGCATTACTCACCATTTTGCGTGTTTCGCCCTCATCTTCGAGGAGATGATTAATCAATTTTTAAATCGACATGAATTGAAAATCCGAAAGATAATTTTATTGCTTTGATCCTGTTTTTGAATGAATATCCTTCACACTTAGAAATCACGCATAAACCTCACTTCATCTGATCAATCATACAATCCGGATGCATTGGAGTCGAGTTTTACTCCTAATAAAGCTCAGCAGTGACATATATCTACCGACCCACTGCCTGCTATTGAAGATCGCATCTATCCAAACACCGCAACTCTGACCAGCCTCACTGTGATCTGTTTGGATGATCTCTGTGCAGCAGTGACGAGTTCTGATCATAGCAAAATTTAAGTCTGGCGCTAACTGAATAAATGAACTGTGTATCGTGTGAAACGATTGGGTCTGGGAGATGGTCGTTTGAGAGCAAAATACTTTTTCCCCAAACAGCATTCACAAGTAACTGTGGGTTTAGTAATTCCACGATTTACCTGAGTGAACGCTCCACTGAACAACAGAAATAGCAAACAGAACCCAAGATGACTCCACTCCTTCCAACTCAAAGGTCTACGAAAACTGATGACCAGGTAAGTGTACAAGCGGTTACATTCTAGATGAACGTTTTGAAACAACACTAGCGAATAAAATATCGATAGAAAAGTATGGCCAGAGATAGTGCTCGGTACACCAATCGCATGAGACAGTTAGGTGTGACGGTGAAGAGCATCGACGCCAAGCTAGTCGTAATGCAAATTTAGTCGGTCAGTCAACTGGAGGCATACATTAAGTTACTGACCACAACCGTTTGGTCTGCAACCCTAATTGAATAATAATAATAATAATATTCTCACCTACCCATAAGACTGAAACCGTTCTCGACCAGCTTTTCCGTTAGTTCCGTATTGAATTCACACAGTAGTAGACGATAGAATGCCACGTAGGCCGGCGGTTCGCCCAAAATCATTCTGTGTCGAACGCGGAACGAAAACGACAGTTGGACACAGTGGCAGAAAAACAGAAAAGGGGAAACCACAGTAATGGATTGTATTGCGATGACTTACACAAGCAACTACGCCGATATTTCAGTAAAGAAAACTGTCCAACGTTAGATTGGGAAAGAAGTGATGAAAATTTAACATGTAACAAAGATCAAATGTAAACAAAAAGTTACTCATCGTAGATTTATGAATGGTTCTTACAGGACTACCACCTTGTCAATTAGAGTGCGAGCCAATCAGGGTACTGCTGAATCGGGATATTTATAAGGGATGCTAAGTAGTGAAAACTGGGTCTGAATGCGACACGAGAATGGCAGACAAATAAGTCAGGATTCAGTGGATGGCTGGGGTCGTTAAGAATGTTATGAGCGAAATTCTCTCATAAGGTTATATGAAGATTACATGGTTTTGTGATTAGTGTTTGTAGGAATAAGATAAACACGGTTAGTGACTGTTACGCTGCAACGAAGAGCAATGAAATCCTTTTCAAATAGATCGGGGGTAAATCATAGGGGAACAGGAAATTGCACTGATAAAGGAAACAACATATATTGAATGCTGAATCGTCTTAGCTTGCGTATTTGGAAGGATAAGCAACTCAGTTTACCAACATGGGTTTGCATAACGGGAGGAAAACTGCAAATTGCTCTCTACGTTAACCTCTAGGTAGTTATTGGTGTGTTCTAGTGAAGGGTGCTGGGTAGTACAAGTGAGTAATAAAGGAAAAATGTCAAAAAGACGTGAATTCGAATGTGACTAGGCGTTTTTATGTGTGCAAAAAATAAACAGCCTTTTACGGAACAGTCTTTAAGCCAAGACAGCTTCAGGATGCGATGCGGTCAACTGAATCAAAGGCCGTTTTCATATCACAGCTGAATTCTTCACACCCTTTGCATATGTTCATCGAGGTAAAACATTAAACTGGGTGTGAAAAAATAACACATTGTACTGAATCTGTGTCCTACCCGATCCAATTCATCCGGATAACCCACTTGTGATACCGAATTCATGACCAGATCTATCGATTTGGATCAGCGGAAACAACATTGTCTCCGAAGTGCTTATTTTTCCGTCCTGATAACCGTCACGGACGCTGATGCAGCTTAGACACTGCTGTATGGAGTCGTCATTAATTCCGGAACACAGAAACAGCTATACCCGGGATATCTATTTGTGCTGTCGTCAGCGCATTGTCACATACTCGAGCATACTAGAGCAACCTAAATCACCGGACTAACTTCATAGTTCAATATGTTATGTGGATCTCCACACAAGTTCATAAATTATCAAATGATTAACTTCCTGCAAAACTGAATTTCATCCCGGTTGTTTGATTTGTACATTATTCTGAAATCTAGCTTTGAAACCGCATGAGAAAATACTCTACGCTGATCCATCATGATACGCTCTGAAATTCGACCGATTGGAAATCTGTTTCCAGTTTTGTGCGAATGAAACTGAACAAGTTTTCAATGATTCATAGAATGTATTTCATCCAGTTCGACGTGACTAACCATGAAGGCTTTTATTTTTCCGCATTTGCGAACCGGTTTCTTAATTCAACGTGGCGACACAGCCAAGAAGAGTGAAAAACCCTACTAGACATTTCCCTTAGTTATACCGGATAACTTATGTGGTTCTTCTGGTCCACGTATTTGGAACAAGACGGAGTATGGATTGAGTAAACGCGTAACCAGAGAAACAAGGAATATGTGCTTGATTTGTTACCTGAAGTAAACTGAGCTTGACTACTTCTGGGAAGCCGGTAAAATAACTCTTCTGGCAAAATTCTGAAGAATTCCTTTGCCTGTTCACATATATGGATAACGCGAAAAGTGCGTTCTACAGACGAATAAGATCAGTTGCCCCTTCAAGTATGCGCTTGACACCTTCTAAGTATGAAGTGATGGGTTGCGACGGTCCGGAAGCGATTGCGTCTAATTATCTGCCCTTTTTAGAAAGTTGAGTAACGAATAACAACAGCACATCAAAAGGGGTGACCACATAGGTACACGAGACACGAGCGGCTTACAATGGGCATTGTCTTCGATGTGAGGTTTTATTGATGTTGAAAGGTATACTGTGCTATAGTACGGTTAGTTCGACGTCATGATTATGAAAACTTGAGTTTGCACGTAGAAGAAATTACTTAACCGGAGGTCTAAAAATGTCGGTTTGTTTGGTCTGAGATGTAGACAGGGAGTTAGTAACGTCCCAGTGAGCCATTGTGTATTTGGGAATGCCTCATCGAAGCAACTGTTGGCACAAGGAATTTGGACAAGTACAATTTGCCGGTTGTACCCCCATTGTGTGTACCTAGCAGTCCATCTAGCATACAGTCGGTGTTCCCGGGTGTAGGAAATCACGAGGGACTCAACATATGAAGTAAAAAAGATGCACACTGAGTGTACTTCGTCTTCCAGGTTTGAGAGTCAATGGCCCTGTGACAGGATATTTGTATCCATTGGAGCGTACGATAGTGGGGTAATGGCGTTCAGGTTGGTTTCCCTCTTTACTGAACCTGTGATAACTACAGATTAGTGAAATAATCAATTTTAGAAGCTTGGAGACAACTCAAACACAAAATCGGGGGTATTGCAGATGGCGGTGTCGAGATTCTACCTGCTCCTACCGACGCGAAAACAACGCTGAATAAAAGAAACGAATTGAATGAAAACCGCGATGAGTAAAGCATACCCTTGGTAATTTATCTTGCGATTGAACCTCAAATTGCGTAGTTGACGCCGCAGTGTTTCCATATGCCCCTTAGCGTCAACCATCGTGAAAAATGAGCAGTTGTGAACAGGTCACAAACTCAGATCCGGATGCCAGAGCTAGGATACGTTCATTGGAGACAATGATACTCCGTATTTGGATCTTAAAACAGGAAGAAAAGTGGAAGGGGAATACTTTCTGTGGGAGCGATTTCATGATTGACATGTATAATCGTAGTAGTGCTACGGAACCAGAAGGCTGTATAGTGGAGAAACTGAAACTTTATTTGCGAAAATAATCCCGTAGAAAAGTCAAAGACAAAAGAAAAATCATCAAGCTAATCTCGATATTGGGCGTCATTGCTTTCAGTCTGAACAAGGTGCAACTGAGAATCCAATATGTCGTGCCCGGGCACACACCAATGAAGCCGGTTTATCCTTTAACAGGAGCTTCATAAAATCTGTGTGTGTGTGTATGTGTGTGTGTGTGTGTGTGTGTGTGTGTG